TTCCTTCCCCTTCGCCCTCCTCGTCCGTCAGTTGCATTGTGGGAGTTGGGACAGTGTTGTTTTGTGCTTGCTCGACGTTGGAATAGTTCATGTGTGGAGGGTTGTTGAGGATAGGGTTGTTAAGTAAAAGAGGTAGGTTCATGCTTAGAGGGATGAGGGTGCTTGGGGTGTTCCTCTGGAGACGGTTCCATGGGGATGGGTTGGCCCCCATGGTTGGGAGTTGGTGGATTGGTTGGGGCTGTGGGTTCATTAGGGTAAGCCATGGGTGGTTGGCTACATTTTCCAACCCAATCCGTAGACCCTCCGTTACAATTTGGGCTAGGTAACTTGGATTCTCTATTCTAGATGTAGGTTCATGTTCAGTGAGAATCCCGTTAGGCCGTATTCCAGCCATGAGAGTGGAGTGTGGTTCATTGCTAGCGGGGGAGTTGCATACACTAGTGGTTTGTTTTGACCTAGGGTTTGGTTGTTCATTTGTTGGGTAGCTTGGTTGCGTGACCACACATTCCTCCTGTGGTTTCTTTGATGCCTCCTGTAGAAGTTGTTGGTGGGTAGCCTTGGCATCCTTGGTGAGTTCTTGATGATGGTGTCTTTGATTATTTTTGGTTGGTTCTACGATTTTGTTGTCATTGGCTATAGAGCTTAAATGAGTTGGTGTTTTAGTTCTTAAATTTGCATGGTTCTTTGGGGCAGGGGGGGGTAACGTATAGAAGGAGAGGGGTTGGGCTTGTACTATGATTGTTGGAGTTGATTTGAGATTTGGCTGCTGAAGATTTAAAATCTACATTGCTCAGATTTCTTTTGTCAACATTAAATGCCTTCTTGACCTCTTCTTGGGTGGAGCAAAGGTCAACTTCCATTGATCCCTCAACATAGGTATTAATATCAATTACCTTAGCTATGATTTCCGTTGGATTTGATGAGTTGGTACGAGGTGTAATGTTTCCTTTGCATGGACTGTTGGATATTGCTGTGTTAGGAGGGCTGTCGAGTGCATTGAGTGTTCTGGGCTTTTGGTTAATAAAGGAGTGTAGTAAATTGGTATGGCTTAAGGTCTGATGGTCAGTGTCCGATAGGTTTTGTGGCTGAGTTGATTGGGATTGTACCGTGTCCATTTGGTCATTTTCCAGCACATTTAATGCCTTGAATTGATTACTGTTGCTTTTGTCTATGTTTGTGCTATTATCCAGTGTGTTTTGTTGTGTATCCTTCTTCCTAAATTCCTGCCGTTTGTGAGACGTTTGGCCGACGTTTGCGCTCCTGGGTTCATCGTGTAGCTTCTGTTCATTTGGCATTTTTGGTTCCAGTTTTGAATGTTCCAGTTTGGACTGTCTTTGTGGAGGTGAATTTGGCCTTTCCATTTGGTCGTGTCTAGCCTTAGTTCTTTTGTGTGTAACTATGGTCCAATGATCTATTTCTTTCGTTAGGGATTCAATCCCATCGTCCTTTTTTTGAGTCCCTTTTACTGCATTAGACTTTGAGTTCGATGGTTGAGGGCAGTTGGTTGGGGTATGACCCAATCTGCCGCAAAAGGTGCACAGCATGTTAAAGCCCTCATAAGCAATCCTTTGATAATGGCGTCCAATTATAACATGAGTTTTTAGAGGGCTTTCTATAGGTGCTAGGATACAAACTCTCGCGTATTTGCCCCTAGTGGCTGAAGCAGTACATGCATCGATCCTGAGTAGCTTCCCTAATTTAGATCCTATTTTTTGAAGTATTTCATAGTCATAAAATTCCGTTGGTAGTTCTGGTAGTCTGGCCCAGATGGCTGAGTAGGTTTGCGGGGCTGTTGACGCTACAAACTTTGGTTCCCATTTTCGGACAGTGAGAAACTAGTTTCCTATGAACCAAGGTCCCCCATGGAGAGCTTTGTCGTAGTTTTCTGAGTTTATGAACTTAATTAGGTAGTAGTCGTTTCCTAGATCTATGAGGGTGATGTTCTCCGTTGGTTTCCATATGGCCATTATTTTGTTTTGTAAGAATGCATAGCTTACCTTCCTACCAAAGAGTTTAATAATAACAGCATTGGTCCAGTTATTGTAAATCCTTTCCTTGTCTGCGTGTGTTATGGGGATGAAATTGTCGGATTCGTATTGGTTCTCAGTTTCATCAGAAGTGTCATGGCCCTCCACAGACTTTTTCACTGCTATTTGATTTTGGTGTTGTGCTTCAGCCAGATTTCCTTTCAATTTGAGCAAAAAGGAGCTTGTTTGGTCATGGTGTTCCTTAGCTAAAGTCTTAGTGTTAAGGATGTTGGTAGATTCGTTAGGTTGATCTTGGTCCATCTCTATTGCTAAGTTCTTATTAGTAGTTCGTGTGTTCTTGTTTCTTGTATGGTGAAAGGGATTTGGTGAAGGGCAGAGTTTTTGTTCCTAGAAAGAAGCAAGAGCTTCTCTTTCTAACTTCCCTTCATCGGTTACTTCATGTTCTAAAATATTATGGTCTGCCTGCCAATTTTGTTACCATTCTCCATGATCGCAGATTTTGGGAGATGTTTTGCATTTTAATTATTTGCTTTTAATGTCCACTAGCTAAGCATTGAATCAGAAATATGAGTCTACTTGTCAAAAAACAAATTAGCCTCACATAAATAATGTTGGTTATGTAACTCGTATAGTAAAATTTCTCTTTGCATATGAATGTCATTTCGATCGGTTTCACAGCATGCATCAATATTGTTCAAAGTTATCAACCGCAAATGATTTGTAGATAGGATATCATTTGAACCATTCAAGAATGCCACACATTTAATCCCTTTTCTTATTTTATGTGTGATATTTTTTTTTTAAATCTGCTCTACAAATATGATATTTTTTATATTTAGAAAATATTTAATCTTAATATTCTTATTTTATCTTTAATAATATGAGATCCACTTGATATAAAAGTTTATTCTTTTATAAGGAGAGAGATAATGAATAGATATGTGGAACTTTTACTCTCACTCATTTAAAATGGTAAATTCGATGCTTTGCATATATTTGGCTTACATACCAAAATTGTTTTTTCCCGTCAAATACATTCATATAAAATCGGATATGCGCAATTTTTATCGCAGTCAAAGTTTCCAAGACGAGGGAGCAAAAAGGGAAAAAATGTAGTTTCCGTGCTCTTACAATTTATAAATTATTTTTCAGCTGCAAGTCAAATTCCCATCTCCCAAAGGCTGCGGAAGTTTAGCAAATGATGCACATGCTTTGTTGAGTTGAAATACAATGAGTAGCTATAAGCTAACACGTAGATATGATCTCTTTTTAGAAAAGTCGGTTGTGAGACTCGAACATAACTCACCACATCTATTTGGTATATTGAAGTGTGTGATAATTTCATGTAAAAGTTTGAGTTGCTAGAGAGATCGTATTTTATTTATTTAATTACATCTTATCATGTAAAAATTTGAGTTGCTAGAGAGATCGCATTTTTATTTATTTAATTACATCTTCGATAAGAATAACATTAGATTGAATGTTGTCTTTCACTACCAGCTTTAAGAGTCCATATATAGGAAGGTGTCTCTCACTTTTCCTTTCGTCTTGCCCCCCTAATACATTACAGTTCCAGCATTCAATTCTTGGAGTAGTACTACTATATCTTAAAATTTTTGGGTACAGCCTAATGGTCAGCTAGTTATGTTGACTTGAGGAGTTTGTTTGCTGTTGAATGTTGGGTAGAACGCTTGTATAGGTCGAAATCTTAACAGAGGAATCTCACTTAAGGGAGGATGATCAAGAGTTAACCGAGCCGAGGTCACGTATGAGAAGCGATACCCTAACAATGTTAGTGACTCTGCTGCGGTCGAGGTCGAACACTCCATCCAGCCTGAACGGCTAGTTCAACCCTTAGACATTTCTAAAGGAAGACTTTTGGTCAAACAATGTTGTTTTCACAAACTAATTAAATGTCCAAACGAACATGCATTTGTTAATACATCCTCTGAGGTTTAAGCAGGAAACATCTGTATTGCATTTTCTTCTGATTCGGTGATTTCACTTGATGACAGATGTATTTCCTTAATAAATCTTTGTAAGTAACAATTTTTCTGAATCATAACTGAACCTTTCTAATGGCAGTGCCTGTGTACTCTTGTTGCTTGACTTGAAGTCACTTTTTGTTGTCTGTCTATTTTTTTCAGATATAAGAATGAAGAATGCAGGCTCGATTATATATGAACATAATTCTGTTGCCTGGAATTTCAGGGAAGGAAATTAAATTTATTTTCCATCTCATCTATACAAAACATAGCTTAAGGTGCTAATTTAACTTCATAGTTTACAAATATCAGTTCTACTACTATTATTGTTCTGTTTGTTTCCTTTCTAGATAACCTCTGTATAAATATCAGAGAAATGAAAAGAAAGTAAAAGTCCCTACTTATTCTTTCTCCACGTAGCCTAAATGAGGTTTGCCTACTTGCCTATAGCATCATCAGCTGATGATAATGAGTAGGTATTAAAGTAAAGGCTAGATTACAAAGTTATAGAGAGGGATTATACCAGTAACCTTGCAAACCAAACTTAGCTCAAGGTTACCTCGAAGGATGTGGTGCAACGAATGAGAATGTTGTTTCCTTAATCGGAAGTTTTGTGTTCGAATCCTGAGTATAACAAAATTCTTAGCAGGAAGCGTTTCCTTCCAAATATGGCCCTATATGACGCATCCAAATATAGTTAAGCTCCAATGCGGATACCAGATACCCAATAGAAAATCAAAAAAAAAAAAAATTAGCTCAAGTTTTCTAGATCAACTGTATAAAAGTGTAAAATGTGGGGTCCATCCCATTAATTGGCAAAGTTTGCAATAGGCTTGTGCCTATTTTTGCCTATGAATCTACTTTCGCAGAGAGAAGCTTGGTGGAAGATTTTTCAGGGGGCCAAAGTATCAAATGTATGGTGGACAATTTTTGTGAAGTTTTCTATTTCCTTTTTAACTATTTGGAGGTCACGGCTTTCCATCTATAAAACGAGGGTTATTCTCCTTTGTTTCATTACACCATGAGAAAGAGAGAAAGAAAGCGTAAGGCATAAAAATTTGTCTGCGAAGAAAATAGAGACCGTAAGCGATATTATAGTAAGGTAAAAATATTAAAATAAGTTTTTTTTTTAATGTGATAGTGGTCTTTCGAGTATTTTACATAGGCCATGAATAAAATTCCTTGATATAATGAGATCAATTGCTCTCTTCAGGGTCATGATTTTCTTCCTTATTCATAATTTTTCACAATTTGGTGTCGTTATCATTCTTTTATTTTTGTTGATTATCATATCTCGATGCTGCATTATTGTTCCGATTCAATCAGTTTCTCAGTTATAGCCCTTATGTGCACTGATGCATCCTTGGCAGTTAAACCATTGGATGGTGATGTTTCCTTTGGTAGAATCTCTAGTTTTTAAATGCTAAAACCTCCATTTCTTCCAGTAGCTTCTTCTACTTCAGAGGGAGCTGTTATGTACACTGGTATGTTGAATGAATCCACCTCGTCTTCATCAATGTCACCCTGCGAAAATTTAAGAATTACCCTAAATAACCGTTTAGCCAACCGCTTAAACTAAAAATAGTTAGCGAATATGTATGTACAATCCAACCTGAGGCGGAGGCAGAATTTAAAGTTTATGGGTTCCTACAACGACCTCGAGTGAATGTACCATCAGTAACTAGGTTTACAATCTAATATTTAGTAGATTTTTTGACTACGTATACAAAGTATGTGCAAAAGCTACTGCGTTCACGGGAATCCACACCTGTTAAGTTGGATCTGCCCCTGAACATATAGAGAGAGTAATTAATATGGATAGGCATTAACATGTAGTTAATCTATTATCTGTAGCATGCCTATGTGTTGCCAAATGACACAAAAAATTAGTTTGTGTCATGATAAAGTAACGACTTTGTTAGATTGCATAATACCAAGACCTTCTTCGCCAACTCCACGAAACAAGATCCCAATGTGTCAGCTAACATATTGGGGCTCCATCTGGACGAGAATGAGGGGCTCCATCTTTCTCATATTGTCTTGTATATTCCCTTATCACTTCCTCCTTAGCATGGGAATAGTAAAGTTTCCCTTTGTTCCAATGCTAAATATCTAGGAATTGGCAGCAATAATCTAGCTGAAGCAAAGGTAATAATCTATGGTTTACAATGGTGTATCTCGCATAGATTCCAAAGCATTATCTTGGAAAGTGAGACTCTGATTATTGTAAACATGATAAAGGGAAAGAGCAACACTGCTTGGCAACTTCAAAATTCTATAGATGCTATTACTCAATTAATGCTATCTCAGACAACCAATATAGTTCAACATTGTTACAGATAGGCAAATCAGGTTGCTGATGCGTTGGCAAAATGGAGCATGAGAGGAAATTTTATGATGTTAAGGATCTTCCTAAGCAGGCTGCTGGTCCATATTTTCTAGATATACAAGATACTGCCTCCACACAAACAAAGAAGGAATATGCATGCTTGTCTAATAATCTTTTTGGGAGTTTTTGAACCGTTAATTTTCTTTTTTCTTTCTCCCTGTATATGCTAGGTTTGAAAAGCGGCAGGGGTTAGTGCTAACCTCTGTTTTGTAATGAAATAAAAGGCAGCGTTCGCAAATTACAAAAAACAAAAAAACGTTTGTCTTCGACCTCACTTAGCTTGGAAGATGGAACTCTAGAAAGAAAATGGAGACCATAAGAGCAGTTGACAATATGAATAGATTCAGCTGGGAAAACACGATGATCCCACAGCAGCAGCAACATAATATGACTTATTAGCTGGGAGAGAAGCGATCGAAAAGGGTATTGAAATCATTAAAAGAGTGATCATTAAAGAAAACTTGAATTTTAGGATTTTCAGTTTCATTTGTCTTTTTCATGCTTTGGAACTTCAGTTCTACAGACTCGACAACGCTTTTAACTGAAATAAATGTGTTAGTTCCAGTTGAACAACCCATATCAGTATATATATTAAAGTTTTCGACTTGAAGATTCTCCATCACGACTGCATGCACAAGCAGCTTCGTAGCACGAACAACACGTCTCTGCAAAAACATATACTCCAATTATCATCAGAATTTAACTTATAAGGCAGTATAGTTTTTTTTAACACATTTAAACAGTTATCATCAGCTTGTGAATATGCGCCTCGTTTACATGTATTAATATATAATATAATGCATAATCCAATTCATAAAAGCTAGCTAGGAAGAAAGAAAACCTGATAGCTAGGCGGAATTTAATTTGTCACTGAAAGGGCTTGCACCACTAGCCAATGGAAATTCATAAGAATTGTGGCTGCCCTATATATGTCGGAAGGAAGAAAATCTGTTATTTTGAGGAGATGGTTGCAAAGATTATTAAGAGGATCAATGGTTGGCAAGGAAGATTGTTATCCTACGGAGGTAAAGTGGTCATCATTAAGAATATGTTACAATCCCTCCCCTTATACACCCTCTCTGCCATGAGCCCTCCAAAAGCTACACTTAATCTAATTAAAAAGCATTTAGCAAGATTCCTTTGGGGGTCCACGGGCGACAAGAATAATTTTCAGTGGAGCTCTTGGAAAAATCTTTGTGTCCCTAACGAAGAAGGTGGTATTGGAATCAGAAGAATGGAAGACATCAACGAAATTTGCAACATCAAAAGATGGTGGAGATTGAGAACCTGTCCTTCTTTATGGGCAGATTACCTCCGAGCTAAATATTGTAGTAGAGCCCACCCAACCTATAAAGCTATTGCCTCGGGCAACTCACATTCCTGGAAAGCTCTCCTTCATGTTTTTGGTGGGACAACTGGACAGGTAAAGGACCACTTGCTAAAGTGGTCAATCGCACTAACACATCAGGTAAGGTGCAAGTTTCTTATTTTTTCAGGAACGATGAGTGGAATATTCACAAATTGGAACAGCTTCTTTTGCCCAATCACATTGTTCACCATGTCGTCAGCATCTCTAGAGGGAAGCAGACAACGACCTGGCCATTTGGGATCTTACTGAAAATGGGCACTACTCTAATTTATCGGCTTGGCACATGGTTAGAGCTGTTAAGCAAAGAAACCCCCTTGTGGTCAAAGTGTGGCATGATTGTATTCCATTCAAAATGTTATTCCTTGTTTGGGGAATGATTCAGAAAAAACTCCCCTTTAATGACACCATTAGGAAGTTTGGCAATCAACATGCATCAAGGTGCAACTGTTGTAACATCCCTCATTGTGAAAGCTTGCATCATCATGTCTTCATTGATAGTGAGGCCGCTAGAGATTTATGGGAATTCTTTGGAAATCCTCTGGGAATCCGACATCAAGCCGGTTCCATTAGTAGTGTCCTCACTCAATGGTGGCAGAGGAAACCAAAGAATATGGCCCATAAGATGACACTTCACATTCTGCCTATTACTATTTGCTGGGAATTATGGAAAAGCTATACCTCTTGCAAGTTCGGAGAAGGAAAGAAATTTGTCCAATACAAGATGAAGTCGCAAATTATTTGGAACACTAATGCTGCGATCAACAGGAAATATCCTTCAATTAAAACCCATACTCACTGGCACAAAAATTGCGACATGATAGAGCACCTGAAACCTATCCCTATATGGAAGAGTGTATTATGGGAGATGCCTCCCCATGGTAAATTGAAGTTGAACACAGATGGAAGTTTTAACAATCGTAATGGGAAAGCAGGGATCGGAGGGATTCTTAGAGATGAAGAGGGAGGATTTGTCATGGCATTCTCGATGCCTATCCTTTGTAATAGCAGCAGTGAAGCAGAACTGAAAGCTATCAAATTTGGGAGTGACTGGTGCAAAAACAAAGGACTCTCAAACTTCATTGTGGAAATGGACTCTAGGATGATCTGGGACATACTCCAAGCCAAGAATCTGGACAATAACAAACTGAAAAAAGAGGCAGAAGACTTAATCGATAATCTGGAAAGATGCAGGGCAACGACCAACCACTGCCTTCGTGAAGCAAATCAAGTGGCAGATTGGTTCGCTGAAGAGGCCACCACATCAAACGAAGGCATCATCCATACGAACTTCAGTCAGTTTCCAAAAGCGGCTAAAGGACCCTTCTTCATGGATATGTGGCAGGTTCCGTCGCTTAGAATTAGATATGAAAAATCCAATTTTTTTTGTAAGTTAATTCGGTGTATAGCGAGAGGAAATGGTCTAATATGTATTTTTGCCCATAGACTCTTCCTCTCTTCATGTAGAAAGGTATTCATGAGGTAAGGTTTATGCCTCCTCGGTGTACACTTTTTGTTTATATAATAGACAAGGTAGGGGTCTTGCCAAATCCCCCAACACCACAGGAGGTGAAAACCTGGGTGCTTGGCTTTATTTAAAAAAAAAAAAAAAAAAAAAAATTGTGGCTATTCTTTTCAAGACTCATCTCCATACCTATGATAGTGACAGAATGAATAAATGCAGTCTGTATGTGTGTGAGGATGCATGGCTTTAATTACGATGGTTTAACTAGTAGTAACAATTTATAGACGGTAGAATCTATTAAATTAATCGTAATATGTAGCAATATTTACGATTATGTAGTGTTTGCAAGTTGCAACATTCTGGTAATTTTTACGAATTAATAATGGGTTTGCAAGTTGCTAAAAATAGTTGTTACGACTTACGATGGTCTTAACTATTTTTAGCATAAATCTCGGCAACCAACCATTTATCAAAATTTAATATGGTACTTTTGCATTCTTTAATCCATTGGGAATTAGCGTCCCTTGTCTTAAATTTCATATGCTCCAAAAAATAATCAAGAATCTTGATTCACGGGATATTTTTTATTGTGATCCTTTTATACTAGAAACTTAATCTTGTGTGTCTCTCCCTTTTATTTATTTTCTTTGTTTGTCTCTTTTGTAATCGTGATTCGTGAAAGATGTAGCTATTCCAATCATTTTGGTTAAAGAAATAGAGGGGAAGGGACAAATAAAATGCAAGGAATTTAAAATAGGGGAAAAAACACCGTATACCCACCTATAGAATCTCTTTTCTCTATATGCCTAAGTTTGGAAATTACATAGGAAATTCTTAATTAATTACTTCGTATATCTCATTTACTGATAAACAGAATAGTAACTAAAAATATTTTAGGTGATAATATCCCTTAAATATAGCCATGACTACTGAAATGTGTTTGTAGAGAATATTAAGATTCACCTCTCCTAATCAAAACCTATTCCGCTTCACTCACAAATGTAGTACTCTTCTATTGGATGTTTATTCATGTTCAATGTGAATATTCGTCAATATAGATGATATGAATATTATTGTGTTTTGTTTGATTATTGCTAGACGTTAGAATATTATTTTACATGGCAAGAATACTCCTTAGTCATTAAATAATTTTTATATTAAATATATAATTGAGGACAAATGGAATATTGCTGGTTTAGACATGAATAGTGTTGTACATTTTGTATCATATATTATGAATACACCCATATATAATGGAATACATCTAAATCATAAAGTGAATATTATGAATATAATAAAAGAATACTATTCGTTACTTGTTGAATATTACATTCAAATCATAAAGTGAATATTCCGTTTCACTCACAAAGAGTTCACTGAGTTATTTTATTTGCATCTTCTAAGTGGTATACTACATTATATGTATAGAATACAAATTGCCACTTGTAGAGTGTTTTATACTTATGGAATACCGTATTATTATGTTGAAATTAGGTTCTGCCTTGAATGTGTGAACAAAAGTTGTTCGTGGTATTTGAAATCCTCAAGCTTATGCTTAATAGAATATTGAGAAAGATATTGTGTTTTATTCCAATTAAATGTTGATTGAAGATATCCTAAAAGAATCTAGGGGAGATAATCTAATCCCTTAAAAGGTGGGATATGTTTAATGGCATATAATGATATTAAAGATTTAAGAAGTAAATAAAATTTTATAAAGTAGGTATAGAATGTAAAATAAATATTGTAAAAGTATATGGAGTTAACTGTGTTTTTAATGGGTAGACCACGTAGATTATCCATCAGTTAGTCAACTTTATTTTTTTCTACTTTTGATAAAAGTGTTGGGGTAACTCCATATGAGGGTTGGCCGGACTTTGGGTTGTTCAAATAACCAATATGGGTTTTTCAATTGGACCTAAAGCTAACACATTCATTTCAGCTGAAAACATTGTCAAATCTGTGTAACTGAAGTTCCAAAGCACTAACATGGAACTGTATTCTGTAAAAAGGGGTTTGCCCAGTGCACAAGGCATTTCGCGTTCACAGAGGGTTCAGGGAAAGATTGCATCCCAAGGGGTGTGATGTAGACAGCCTACGCTAATGCATTAGCGGCTGCTTCCACGACTCGAACCCGTGACCTAACAACTTTACTGTTGCTCCAAGGTCCCCTTCAGAAAGCACCATTGACCTGTATTCTGTATTCTTTGATTAAACCAACCATTGACCTCTTTAGAAATCAAACAAAATTAAGTTTTGAATGGAATGAATGGTCTATAATGATGCATGTGCCACTCGTTTGAGTTATTAAAATGCATGTGTTAGGCGAAGATTTCAAATAAAGTTGAAAAATACATTAAATTAGCAACCAAGAAATGAACCAAGAGAAAATCTAACTACAGTTTTAAAAATGCTTGATTGTGGAACTCAATATATAA